ACTGACAGATTTTTTAAAATACTAAAGTCCAAATTCAAGAAATATTATTGAATTCTGCCTGATTGATATTCAATAATAGACCTTCAAAAAGTGATTTTGGTTCCACTGTTTACATTGTTGGATCATCTTTATCAGAAGAATGTGTGAAAGCTATCGCTTCGGATCGGAATATACCCTCACCGCCAAATAAACGAATTATACTCTCGGTTCAATATAGAAACACCTGAACATGAAGGATATAATTTTATTTGCCATTGAATATTAACTGTATTCGTTTTTAACATTATATAGGTTCGTTCCTGTACTTTTTGATAGTAAAGCTAGTAAAAGAGCGAACTATCAAAAATTACTCTCACATACAAGATTTGCGCAAAAAGTAAAGGAACGAAAAATAGTTAAAACATGAAGAAACGTCAAAATCAAAAATTCCATTTGTTAAGGACAAAAAAAGACTACAGAAACCTAATGCACACAAAAAACAATAACAAAAAGTTAAACGGCGTCCATTGCATGATTTTGATAATATTAATATTTATTGTTTATTTTTTTATTTGTATAATTTAGAGGAAAACATTATGGAATATATGGAAGTGGAGTTTCCGACGACTCCAAGGCCGGAAAGTCTTATATGGCTGGACGCTCCCATAATGATTAGAATGTTTTAGCGAACTAGAACAACAAGATATGGAACAAGTCAAGTTTATGGGCCCCACTCGGATCATTTTGATATGATTGCCGTAAGTAGCTCTGCTTGTGATGATTACAGTGATATACATTTCATGTGGGGAAATGCATACTTCCCGAAATATTGGTCTTGACATTTCGGAACATATTTTGTTTAAAACAACTCTTTTCTATTGCCACCAAGGCCATATGGGTATCATTAAGAGAACTTACTTTTACTTTTTAAGAGAACTTAAGAGTAAGACTTTCACACATGGACAGTCGCATACATGGCTACGCAATATATTCTTCATCTAGTTATATAGCACAAACCATAACCTTTAAAATGATAAAATGATACGGCTGATTAAAACAACACACTCTCCGAACTTTCAAGGCCCATATCTCGGGAAGTATGCATTTCTCCCCATAAAATATATATCACTGTAATCAGTTCACAGATGACTATTTACTGTAAAAATGTCAAAGCGATCCAAGTGGAGCTCCTAAACTTGACTTAACCCCAAGATATTTTGGATATTAGTACGATTAACCAACCCAACCCAAGTTTTAATTCTATAGTATCTTCATCTGAATCTTCTGCCAGCCATTCATCTTCGCTATCCTCCAAAAGAGAAAAAAATCTGTTTGTCAATTTTTAAATTTCTTATTTGTTTTTTTTTTTTTTTTTTCAAGCAAATGTGTGTTCGTCTGTGCGTGTGTCCCTTTTGTTGAAGCGCTAACTTTCATATGCTTTATTTCGGACTGTATATCTCTGGCAATCAAATGTCAAATTCATAATTTACTACATTTACTACATGGTATAATAATAGAAGGTAACAGCAAGTGTTGTTGTACAAAAAACGATACAACAACCACATGGAAATTTGTTGTTGTAAGTTCTACTTGTGTCAACTCATTTGACAGAAAAATGTAAACAAACAAACAGATTATCATCAAATTATTTTTATTTTGAAAATGAAATATTTTCGAATCCTCAAAATAAAAATTGAAAAACATGAATGAAAATGTATCAAATTTATATTTCTATCGCTTCCACATCTTTCCTATTATTGAGCCATTGCCATATATATGAGTAACACATATGAAAATGCTGGGAATAGCGAGTTATTCTTTGAAGAAAGATTTGCTTCCTCAAATTTCCCAGCAGGCAGATTGAGTAAATTGAATACAAGAGCACATTTAATAAAGAACAATTTCAAATTGCATGCGTTCCCAATTTTCCTGTTGGGTGATTTTTAAAAACATAATTTGTCAAATTCATATTGACACTAGTATTACGTTGGAATCAAATCAGCTGGGATTTGCTGTTACCTTTTATAATTGTACCATGCATTTACTACTTCGTGCTAGGCCAAATTGGTCTTGCAGAAAATAGGAGAAGAGAACGCCATTTTGGTTTTAACTCTCTTAAATTTAACTTCAATTTTTCCTACTTTTCGGTGTAACGAAACGCTTTTCTAGCAAAAATTGCAAAACTAGCTAGTACAATATAGTACTATATTGCAGGTTTGGGAACACAGCTCATTTCTGTTATTTTTTAGTAATTTCGTAAATTCTAACAATAATTTTTTTATTATGTTTTAATATTTTATTATTCGCATGAAAGACTCTTTAATATCATTAATTTGTTGATTGATTTAAGGGGAACATTTGGTAACCCTATCTTGTACGATTGTATTGCAAATCAGCGAGAGATTCATTGGGAATAAATGCAACACAAACCTATGTATCTTTGCTTGGAAGAAAACCTGGCCTCGTGCATTCACGGGTCGCCAATTCCTGCGGCCTTAAGGAACTGAGGACCGCACACACACACAAACCTATGTATCTATTTAAAATTGGAGTTTAAAGGCGTTTTATCTCTCACTATGAAAATGTAAGTGTAAAGAATACACCTCCAATGGGTGTAAAGTGTGTTACAGAACACCTCGGCGTGTGTTCGATACACTTCTGTCGTTGAAGTGAATGCCAGAACATGCCGGATAATGTATAATTATAGTAAACCAAAATATCTATAGAAGATAAACATATCTCTTCATAAAATCAAAACGCCAATAGTTCAATCAAAGACCACAAGTTCTTTTTATGGAGTACCGAAAGTTATTCATAATTTTGTCTTAGGGACCAAAAATTCCTCTTTACTACACAACATAAACGTGGTTCTTGTAGTATATTAAATACAGCAGGACTTCCATTCTAGAAGGCAACACGGTCTTCATATCGAAGACTTTATGATTTGTATTTATTTAAAAAATTGTCTTCTTTATTTCCAATGTCTCTAATTTTTGTATACTAAAATTATTTTTTTCTGTTACGGCGAATTCAAACATCAACAAATTGTTGTGACATATAATGTTACCATCACCTGGCTCGATACGGTTACCTGGTTAATATACCTTGCCTTGTTCGGAATGCTGTTTATATGTCGGGTCATTTTTCTTAAATACAAAAATTAAATAAGATTTACATTGAATGTTACAAATATACACATACATTAAGATATTGCCGAATCATGAAAGGCAACTTTCCTCTGGCTTTCCATCTCATTGCAAAATTCAATTTAATCATTAAGCGAAAGGGAACAACTATAAACCAGCAATGTCAAAACCATGTAAAAAACTATCAAGTTCGATCAGACCGTACTTTTTATACACCACCACGAGATGTGCATTCAAAATTTCTTTAATCGGTCGGGATCTTTATATGACATTATGTGAAAGTAATTTGTTCAAGCTCCGAAAAAATGTTTCAAATTACATAACATTGCCCTATATTAACAAATCATTACCCTATATCGTATAATTTCTGGAAACAATTATTTTCATCAAGAATCCGTTATGCCAAATTATAACCTCTTCGTTGAGAAAATCCGGTTAAAATTTTAATAATACCGAAAGTGAAGGTCTCGTCCCGTGATATCAAAACTTGGACCTATATAGACAATTTTCTCTAAAAAGGTGTTAAACACTACAATAACCTCGAATGCAAAAATGCAGCTTAAACCTTCAAAATTACCATTATGTGAGGACTATGACAAAAATGGACCTACATTGATTATTTTCTGTATATATGTAAGTCTTCAAGAACACATTATACCAAATTACAGCTACATCGGTGGAAAAATGCAAGCCGTTAAAATACGGAATATTGGTCAGTATTGTTATATGAGAGCTATACCAAAACGATATATTTTTTGCTAGGAAGATTTGACACCAATTCGATTAAAAAACTTGCCTAAACCCCACAAAAATACCGAAATTTAGGATGTAAGGTTATATGGGGGCTACCCTAAAAAGTGGATCAATATTGGTAATTTTAGGAACGAATATATTTTGTACCCAGGGAGAACTCAAAATACCAAATTGATGATAGTTTTGAATAGGAAGATTTTCAACCCACTGAGAACCCAAAATAACAAATAATATCTACTTAGTTTAAAAAAGTGACCAATAGCTTTAAAATAATCAATATTAGGATATTTTTTACAAATACAAATTATTTTTAAAAATATGAACAGAACTTGAAAACAAACCTAAGATGGCGAAAATTATCCCTTAACAATATTGTTAAGGCATGACAACGTTTGCTGATCAGCTAGTATTTTATAAAACTTAGAAAATGCTTTGTTCTAATTGGTGAGAAAATCGAAGGCGAATTAATTTTTATTCGCCTTGATAACAATTTTGAAAAATCATGTTCCCAATTCACTATTGCAGCTACCTTTAGTCAACCAGGATTACTGTTTTGTATCGAAATATTTGTTTCCTTTCTTTCGTTAAGTTCACTGCACAAGATTATGTAAATAAAACACCAAACTGTATATGTAAAATGTATTCTGAAATAGTGCTCATGTTTATTTCCTTTTTAATCCGCCACTATAATATACAAAACAAAAATAAGCACCAGTGATTTGGAATTTAGACAATACGACTCGAACCTAAATCAATGAATATGCGTTCTAGAATACCCACAATTGTTTAAATGAATAAAATTCGATTTTCAAGATACGAAACAAAATAATATTCTGTAAATGTTGAAAATTTCCAACATTATATTTTGGATACGTAATGCGTGTCTGGGAAACATGTATTTAACTTTTGTGGTGAATAAAATGTTACGCATACGCATGAATTTAGGTACGAGCCTAATATATATATATATTTAATGTAAACCATCTTTAGCCATTTTACGTAAATCCATTGGATTAGAACAACAATAATAAACAACACATATGTCACTAATTAAAAATCAAAAATCGGTCACATTATTAAATGTGTAACATGCACTTTTCCCGTTATATTATTGTCAGTATGTTAACCTTGCGCCATATTGGGACGTTGCTGGCTGGTACTATTATTAGTGTTACTACTAGTATTACTATCGGCTGATTCGAAGTCGGCAGTGTTAGGTAAATTGAAGTCTGTGGGATCTTCGATAGCGCCATGTTTTTCTTGCTGTCGCACTAAGTCATAATAGAGGCCACGTTTGGCCATGAGTTCGTTGTGTTTTCCCGACTATTAAATATAAAAATATTACATTAGAATAATTGTTGAATAGACTTGAAGCATCATACATACCTCCACTATACGTCCTTTGTCTAAAACAACAATCAAGTCAGCATTTCGTATTGTAGAGAGCCGATGAGCTATTACCAATGTGGTTCTGTTAAGTACAGCGGTATCAAGAGCCTTTTGTACTTCAGCCTCACTGGTTGCGTCTAATGCACTGGTTGCTTCATCTAGTATAAGAACTCGTGGATTTTTCAATAGAGCTCTTGCAATAGCTATACGCTGCCTTTGGCCACCGCTCAATTGTGCACCCCTCTCACCAACATTTGTCTCATAACCATCCGGAAGAGCAGATACAAAGTCGTGGGACTGTGACAATTTGGCAGCTTCGATCACATCATCCTTTTTTGCCCCCGGTCGCCCGTATCGTATATTTTCAAATATAGTAGTGGCAAACAAAATAGGTTGCTGTTCTATGAAACCTAAGACATTACCTCTCAGCCAGTGTGGCTGAATGTCTTCCAGCTTGTATCCATCGATTTTTATAGTACCTGCAGTCGGTTCATAAAAGCGTTCGACTAAAGCAGCAATTGTGGATTTGCCGGACCCACTGGCACCCACCAAAGCGACAGTTTCGCCTGGTCTTAAAATTAAACTAAAATCTTTTAGCACAACCTGTGGAAAAATGATTTCAAAAAACGTTAATACTTTTATCGGTTTCGTTGTTGAATTTTTTACTCACATGGTCGGGTCTCGTAGGATAGGCAAATGATACGTTTTCAAAACGTATTTCACCCCTCAACCTTTCCGATGGAATTTCATAGCCTCTTAAAAGATCAACTTTAGGTTCGATTTGTAAGTACTCGAATACGCGGGACCCAGCGGTCATTCCTCTTATCATGGTACCCAGCAAAACAGAACCTTGGGCCAGCGAACGCTGCACACCCTGTGCCGCCACTAGGAAGGCCATTAGGGATCCAGGCGTTAGGCTTTCCGTCGACATTAAATGACCGCCCAAGAAGAGTGTAGACAAAACTAAACCATTGAGGAAGAAGTTTGTTAAGCCCTGAAACACTGCAATACCATATCCTAATTCCTGAGATAAACGTGCAGCCTCGTTTGTTTCGTGTTCGAATAGTGCCATTTCTTGGTACTCGCAGGCACTAGAACGCACCGTGCGAACATTAGATAAAGCCTCCTCGCATACAGATGTGGCTCGTTCGTTTTGTGCTTGGGCGTTTTTGCTCAAGCTCCGCAATTTCTTGCCCAGATATGTCATAAAGGTTACTACACCCGGCACAGCGGCCAAGGCAATGGCAGCCATATGTGGCGAAATAAGGAATAATGAAATTGCCCCACCAATGAGTTGAGCGACACTTCGCAGTCCTTGTGATACGAACTGCTTGAACGACGCCTTAAAATCGTGAACATCGGCTGTAAGACGATTAACTAGCTCTCCAGTTCGATTTTTATCGAAGAATTCAATGTCCTGTAGCATAATCTGTCGGAAAAGGTCTTGTCGTAACTTTGCCGCCATTTGCTCTCCTATGCGACTCAAGAGGTAGATATATAGGAACGTAAAGCCAGACTGCATTACATATAAACTCAATAGGTTTGAAGCTGGTTTGCCAACATCCTTAAAGAATGAATTGTTCAGGGGATCTTTGACGTACGTGTTAGCATATCGGGCTAATATGTTGATCAAATCGCCCAACAAATTCGGTATACGTATATTGATGAAGGCAACAACAAGGGCAGCCTGAAATAAAAAATATTCAATTAATTGATAAGTGTTTAATCAGACGCAGCGAAGGTTGTGTGGTGGTGAGGGAGAAAATATATGGAATAAGATAAGAAATTTAATTAATATTAGCCTCGATAGTCTGCGCTGTACAACTTACCGCGATCGCACCCAAGAATTCCCATAGATGTGGCTCCAGATAAGACCAAAATCGTTTCCAATCGAATTTTCCATCTTCTTGTTGCAGCGTTTTCTGCAAAACTCCTGCCAAGCGATTACCTTCGCATTGGACCTTATAACGACCATGTAGCCAACTGCGAGCCACCAAACCCAAAGAAACGCCACCACTGCCGAAAAGTAATGCTTTCAGCTTAGCCGCATTTCTGCTGCTCTCTTGCGACTGTGTGGCCTTCTGACTATTTCTCAACTCGGATCGAACATTGCTGTGAAAGTTCTTCCAATATGACGCATCTTTAACGCTTTGTTTCGTCAGCGATGAATTGATTTGGAATCTCGGTATCTGTTGCAGCAGGTGACGACTGGAAACGATATCAATTAAACTTTGGTCAGAAAAAGTTTGCAAGTTTGTGACATAACAAAATACACGAAACATGTACTTGCTCTCCGCCAGACCTTGCTCGTTCCTTGAAACTCTTACTCACCTGTTATCGCGACCGCAGTTGTGCAAGAGCAATCGTAACATCTTCTTTCTAGCTGCACGTATTCGTCTTGACCGTTAGACCTAACACCTTTTGCCCCAATATTATACTAATTCTCGATATGAATGGATAGTAATTTTATCAAAACAAATCAAATCAAAAGAGTTGAATTCTTCATTATTCCTCCGATTGGCGTGCTTTCCGTTCCTTTGCTTTTTATTACAATGCCGCTTCTTCTTAAAGTTTTGACGGCGTTGCGAAATTGGACGAAATAGGTTTAAAACGTAACTGATAAAGCCAGAATCAAAACAAACAACGATTAGTATTAGTCTTTCTTAAGTCGAAAATCGGACGAATCGAGGAATCAAAACAAATAAAGGAGTTAGGCTTGCTCAACAACCGACCGAGTAAAGAAAATTTAAAAACGTTCCACTTGCTAACGAAAGGGGGAGAAGATAAAATGTCCGATAATGAAGAAGATTAACAGCCTTAAACGGCATATACATTAGAACTTTTTACCTGGTTAACCTACTTTATGAGGATTTATTTGACATATATGCAAAGGAATTGACAATTGAAACCCACTTGAAACCCACGTACCATTACCTAAAATTAACTAGCTCGTTCGACGTTTTTCACCACAAAAGTAGAACACATGTGGCCTGTTCCCGTACTGCAAGAATCTATTAGTTTTTGCTATTTTTTCCGATGTCATAAAGGAAAAATTGTTATCGTAGTAAAAACTAGGAGATTCTTGCAATACGGGAACAGACCAATGTATTAATATGAATGGTACCGAAATACGCCGAGCGTACAAAATTTCAAGTTGAACAATTTCAACTTTGACAGAACGTGTTTTTTATTTCTTCTTTTGTTGAAAATATGAAATTTCGAATGTGAAAATAAAATATTTGGATTAATTTAATAAATTTTCAATTTTGTTTTGCGGTTTGTATTATTCGCTTGAAGATATGGATTCGACGTATTTGGGTAATACGCCCTTACACAACATTTTGCAAAAGTGGAGAAGTTGAATTTTTCTGTGCGCCCCGTCGGATTATAGGTAACGTTGTAACGAAATATTTACAAATGAGGTGCGATGGAGAGACTCCACGACAACCACAGGGTTGCATGCTGGGTTGTATTTTTCGTATTGTGTATTGTTGTATGAATGGATGGCTGGACGTCTACTTATTAACGGATTCCGGGATGTTTTATATGTATACTCAATTTTCTACTAAATTTGTTGCATGTGGCTGCATTATTCTTTATTTAATAAAAAATAAAACCGGCAGCAAATTTTCTTGATGTGTTTCGTGGCTGCCGGTCTAGAAGAAATAAGCCGGATGCGGTAGGCTATGAAGTTGGCTGCATATAAACAGTGTTGCTACGATGGAATAATGAAATGAATAATGAGGTGTAGTTAGTGAATGCGGTCACGTAACGTACATGAAATGCAACACTGCGTGAGCGTAATAGGTTTGGATGTAGCATAAAACAGACATAAATAAATGTCGGAAAATTGTGCGAAAATGAAAAGGGGGGAAAATCCTGCTTGGGTTTCGGGCATATAAAAGGAGCGAATGAGAGAAAAATCGCCATAGTTTTTTGTGTCGACTGAAAATCCAATTGGATTTTTCCCCAAAAATAAAAAAATCAAAATTAGCAAAAAAAAATCTAATTGGAAATAAAAGGAATATATATTTTTTTCTTCAAAGTTTATTGTGGTGTTATGTGTACAAACATATGTTGTGCGTATGCAAAAATGTAAGCATGCTGTTTAATGTGTTTGTTTTTTGTCGCTTCAATGTCCTGTTTTTTTTTGTGTTTCATTAAAGTTGAACGCCAATAAAAAACTACACACCGCCGAAGAAACTGACCCCTCCCAACTATCTGCGAGGAGGAGGTCAGATAAAATTTTGAAGATTTTGAAGAAAAATTGTGAAAACAGCTGGAAAAAGCCTTAACAACAGCCTGGAAAAGTCCAAAAATCCAGCCAAAATTCCCCCTTTATAGTCCGTATGGAAGGGAAGATGAAAATCCTGGTAATCCTTGATAATCTGCCGCTTGTAATTAACTCCTGCAATGAAAGCCAGAGAAATGTATATTAATTAAATGGAAACCAGGTAAAACAATATTAATAGAATACATACCAATTCAAGCCAATGCTGGAATAATGAAATTGCCAGTTCCCTAAAAATCAAAAAACCTGAAATGAGATAAAAAGAGAAAACGTTAAAATCAATTTTACAAAAATTAAGACACAAAAACAAAAAAAAAAAAGACAAAAAAATATAATTAAAAAAAGAATATATGTTAGTATTAAGTTGTGAATGTTAGTAGTTAGTTTAGTATTAAGAAATTTTAAATGAATATATTTTGTGAGGATTTTTAACCCCTTTTGTAACTGGTGAGCTAGATTACCACATAGCTACGTGGAGCAAGAATTTGAATATTTTGTGAATGCGATTTAACCGCCCACGTCACCACTAACAGAGCTCTTTTAGGTAGGTGTATTTGTCTAAAGTAGCCTAAATTGGCAGTGTAACATGCCCTATGTGAAGTGCTGGTAATCGAAGAATTGATTCACACTGAGAGAAAAGGAGTTAGGAGTTCATGAATTGACATAATTTTTTTATTTTTTTGTGTTCGATTAAGTTCCAAAAAAATGTCAATAAATGATTTTTTTTTTGATTTTATTAGAAATAATGTTGTGTTAATTTTTCTTTGTGAGAGAGGGAATTAGGTGTAAGTTTTCGTGAGGTAAGTGTGTGTGGAACAAGGGGCCCTTTTAAATATAAAAATTCGTAATTGGACTAAAGGGTCAAGGATGGGCGGGCATAGTGGAGGAGCACTAAGCCAAGCTCCTTCGTCATAGGTGTATGTTGTGTTTGTTTATGTTTGTGTGTTTTTGTATGATCCAAAATTTTCTAGTTGTTCGTTCCCTAGGGCTGATGGTGGCAAGGGTTGAGAACTCCCCTGATCGAAAAGTGCTCCCAACTGAGCTAGTGCGAACCCCGCCATAACGCCGCATTAGGTCTAGAACGTAACAAATTTCATTAAAATAAAAAAATCCTTTGAAAGCGTAGTTCAATTTATAAACACATAAGATCTACTACTTTTTACTTCGAAAACCTAGTATTCTTGCAGCTACGCTACCTTATTAAATTAATTAATAAAAAAAGGGTAGCTTTTGTCAGGAAGGAGAAAATACACCTCTACCTTATGGCCAATAATGTCAGAATTAATTAAAAACCAACACAACAAGTCGTTCTGTTAATTTTACATATTTTTAACATTTTACCGAAAACGCGAAAAATTAATGGAATGTTATACCATGTACTGCACTCGAACAACGTAGTTCGCTCTCAAAATTACCTACATCAATTAACCCGTTCATACAACACTATTCTTATTTTTTTTTGTTTATCCCACATTTGTTTCTTGTTTTGTACGCTAATTAGAAACCAATGAAAAGAAAGATATATCGAAATATGTAGGAAACTAAATTTACTTCCCCCTACATGTATAGAAACTAATCATTTTTATACTTTTCATTCATCATTTCCATTTTTTCTGAAAAAAATGTGTAAATTTTAGAAATTTTTTCATGCTGTCAAAATTAATTTATTTTCGATAAATGCTCTCAATTGTTAGGGATGGGACCAAGGTGTATTCAATAAGGTGTATGCATCAGCTACAACAACTAACATTTTACAAAAACAACATTGCTGTTATAGAAATTAACATTCTTTGATGAATAATTTGTATATTCTTGGTTTTTAGGCAATTTTAGGTTAGGGAGCAAAATTTAAGACCCGGTCACGAATTGTTTTGAAAAGTTTCCAACGTGTAGCCCTTGGTTCTGGTGATACTGCTTATATTGTAAATTACAATTTTTTTCGAAGAATTGCCTTCAAAATTCGCCTCCTTAATGAAAGTATGGTGGACATAAATCCCCGGCCAAAGACTATATCAAGGAAATTGTGTTACCCTTGTGCAATCTGGCTATAGGAGTATATCAAAGACTTTCACCTTTGGATTGATTTTTGGAGGTACCAATAGGCAGATTCCAATATAGGCTACGTATGTGTAGCTAGGATTTATGAACAGATTTCAACACGAGATACAAAACATAAACTATTTGGATCAAATCAGCGAACGGTTTAAAACTGATTTAAGCCCTTTTCGTCCGTCTCTATGAACATATTTTTTATCAAAATCCTAAATTTAAAGACAATTTTGTAAATCGTAATTAATAGTTGAAAATGTTTTTGACAATTTACTTTACAAACAATAAAGAAAAAAGTTTAAAACCATATGATTGTCACTTACACCTTATTTAATACCCTTGGATTCTTTGTTGTTTGGAGAGTGATTCGAATTGAATTACGTACAAAAATCGGTGTTCGCTCAGACAATTTTGAATGGGGAATTAAGTAATTAATTCATAATTAAAGATCGAACAACGAATGAGAGATTAGGCTTTCTTTTCAAAATCCAGTTGGGGATATGATTTACATGTTGTTTCATTCACAAATCATATATTTCTTCTTACAAATGTTGTAAAATTCATGTTCAAACAGATCAATTTTCGAATATATTTTTGGTCTGTTCCCGTACTGCAAGAATCTACTAGATTTTACTATTTTCTTCGATATCATAAAGGAAAATTCGTTATCGTAGTAAAAAGTTGTAGATTCTTGCAGTACGGGAACAGACCATTAGTTATATTTTTCAAAACATTACACACACAGTCACACATTTTGTATGTATGACTTT